GATTCACACAAAACCGAGAGGAAATTGTGTAACAGAAGACCACTAGTGTAACAGTAGCTTAGCTTTTGATCTCAAAAACGGGCTTCTGCAGGTGTCTGCAATCACCCTCTGAACTGTCTGCTATGGCAGAGTCAACCAGAGTCAAGGCAGAGCGAAAGTTGATTTGTATTATGAGCCCTTTTGAAAATCAGGCTCCTTTGTGAGGAAACATGGCGATGTAGCAGAGGCAAGCGTGAAATCGGCGACGCAAAGCACGCCGATTTTTTCGCGTAGTTCACCCTATTGTTTGGTTTAGTTTGTTTTCTCTAATTTTCCTTTAATTTGAGGAAATTTAGTCCTTTTTTGTTCTTGTTGTCCGAACGTTATACACGTTTTGTTTTGTTAAGAAATGTTTTAGTGACACAATTTATATATCCAAATTTGTGTTTTTTTGTTTTTGTTATTGTTCACAGTTTTTTCTATCCTCATTTTCCCATCCGCATCCGCCGAGTATCCAGTCCTCGTTTTGCAGACACCTCCTTTGCTAGCCGATTTTTTGAGCTGTTTATCTTGCCTACAAGCCTTAAGCTGAACACTCAAAGGAGAAGTGCACCAAGTATGTGTGCATTTAAGGAGGAGGAACAGAGCGTCCTTATTTCTGTGACATTAATGAAAGGAATTACAGGGTACAAAATAACTGTGTCAACCATTGGCATCACGTTCTGTATGTAAGTGAAGGGTCCAACCATGTGACAGCGACTTGAAAGAAAGATTTCTTTCCTTAATCGTTTGTTTGTTTGTTTATTTTTTTTTGCCATCCGCATTTCTCGTTTTTTCTTTCTTACTTTTTTTGTTATCCGCATTTTTTTCCATCCGCATCCGCCATCCGCAAGTTTCAGGTCCGCGTTTTACAGACACCCGAAATTAAACGACAACAAAACTTTTGCTTAAACAGACTTAACTCACTTAAGGACAAAATGAAGGGGTAAGCGACGTATTACCTAGGGATATGCCTTGTAGGCATACCACTCCCCTTTTTTTTATACATTAACAGGAAGACTAAAACACGTTCTGTGGAAAGCGCGAGTCAGGGCTTGTCAAGTCTTTCACAATATTTTCAAGTTTACTACAAAATCAGTGAGTTAGAATTGAAAAATGTGATTTATTCACTTTTTTTTAAATGTTTGATCAACAACAAAGTGGACCTCTGGGGCCTGTGTGTGTGTGTGTGTGTGTGTGTGTGTGTGTGTGTGGGGGGGGGGGGGGGGGGGGGGGGGGGGGGGCGGGGCCCGCGGCACCCCCCCCCCCCCCCGGCGCCCGTGCTTTTTTCTCAAAAGTTGAGGGGGGGGGTGT